GAATTATCCCATTATAAGACAAGACAATTAAAAAAACAACCTCTTTGATATTAGTATAAGTAACTTTATATAATGAAAACATTTTTTCAGTTTTTTCTTCATTAAAAATCAATTAAGTAAACATGGTCAATAAAATTCAGAGTGATCAAAGGGATCATGGAAAACACTTTCTTTTTCATTGTTCAATTAAATTTAAAAATTAAATGGAAAACATCAATTAATGTATCTACTCAAATAATGAATATGTTTTTGTTTCAAATTTTATATAAGTTTTATAGATTAGCAGCGTGGACAGAACAACACTATGGAAGCTTCTACGATACTACGACGTGCCTCAGAAGATAGTCAATATCATATGGAATTCCTATGATTGATTAAACTGCATAATTGTGGATGGAGGACAATTGACAAACTCGTTCTAGGTAAAGACCGGTATCAGGCAAGGTTGCTTATTCTCACCCTTTCTCCTTCTCCTGGTGATCGACTGGATCATGAAGACGTCAACATCTGAAGGGAAACGCGGGATACAGTGGACATATGGGATGCAGCTGGACGATCTAGACTTCGCAAAAGGTCTGACCCTCCTGTCGCAATCGCAACAACAAATGCAGGAGAAGACGACCAGTGTAGCAGCAGCCTCAGCAGCAGTAGGTCTCAATTTACACAAGGGGAAAAGCAAGATTCTCCGATACAACACAGCATGCACCAATCCAATCACACTTGATGGAGAAGATTTGGAAGATGTAAAAACCTTTAGATATTTGGGCAGCATCATTGATGAACAGGGTAGATCTGATGCAGATGTGAAGGCGCGGATCGGTAAAGCAAGAGCAGCATATTTACAACTGAAGGACATCTGGAACTCAAAGCAACTGTCAAACAACACCAAATTCAGAATGTTCAATACAAATGTCAAGACAGTTGTACTGTATGTGGCGGAAACCTGGAGAACTACGAAAGCCATCAACCAGAAGATACAGGTGTTTATTAACAGTCGTCTACTCAAAACACTTCGGATCGGTTGGCCAGACACTGTCAGAAACAGCCTATTGTGGCAGAGAACAAACCAGATTCCAGTGGAGGAAGAAATCAGGAAGAAGTGCTGGAAGTGGATAGGACACACATTGAGGAAAGCACCCAACTGCGTCACAAGATAAGCCCTCATATGGAATCCTCAAGGCCAAGGAAAAAGGGGAAGACCAAAGAACACATTACGGCGGGAAATGGAGATAGACATGAGAAGAATGAACAAGAATTGCATGGAATTAGAAAAGAAGGCTCAGGACAGAGTGGGTTGGTGAATGCTGATCGGCGGCCTATGCTCCATTGGGAGTAACAGGCGTAAGTAAGTAAGTAAGTTGTAGATTAGCGGTATGAGAGGCAGAATCTGACTCACACGTCTGCGCCGTACCTCCTGGATAGTAGGATGGATAACCCATGAACTAACATGAGTGGTAACCCGGTTGGTAGAGATCGGGCTAATCACTGATTTGACCGATACGCTTAAACCGATTATGAACTCCACAAAGAAACACAGCACAATTACTCTTGGATGAAAAAACGACAGAGTGTTAACAAAAGTGATGCATGTTACGTACGGGGTTGCTCCTTACAAGGTAAATTCCAACTGGTTGAATAAACAGCTATTCTAGCCCCGGTAGTTGTGCCGTGCATCGATGTGGCCTGCTTCTCTCCAGAAGGGCCTACTTGGCTTCACCAACTTGTTTGGCTGGAAGAGGCAACCACGAATTAGTGGTATTCTATTTTTTTTGTTATTATCGTAGATACTAGCTGTTGGGTATCTTAGATCCTTGGAACTCACTTGGTAATCATCTTATTTTTGTAATTTTATTTTAAAAATTTGAATGCTTGTTTTTCGCGGCAAAAGCGGTCTTTTTCACCTTCATGTCATATTTCCCACTTGGGAGATTCTTAAACACTATTAGTTCGTTGTTTCTATTAGTATGCTATTTTGTAACTCTTCTCAAGGAAAATTTTATGCTGTATATATACTTTTGATTAGTGCCTGTTGTTATTGCTTGTGCTTCTGGCTGTTTGTGGATTATATTTCACCGTTTTGAACATGGACTTATCTTTCTAGTTAGTGGGCCTGAGACGCATCAAAATAGCTAGCTTATTGGTCTTTGGTCACAGAGTCTTTGTTCCATTCACAAAGTAGATGGACTCGTAATCGCTTCAAACATAGTACTCGCAGGAATAATTCATAAACTTTATTTGTATTTGATGTTAGGATCATTCGACTGATGTTTGGTGCTCCAATCAATTAGATTTTTTCGAGATTTGTACATTCTGTGGGACTTCCTCAATATTGCTATCAGGTCACAAGGATGATATCTGACAATGGAATCTAGCATGTGTGCAATATCACGGTCATTCACATAAGATGTACAAGTGTCAAATGAGATGGATCAATTACGTGAATAGGAAGATCCAAAAGACCAATATGTATGCATCCGAGAATAGTTACATACAAAAATTGATATTTTTTCTTAAAAAACGACCTGTAGTATCGGTATTTGTTTTTATAGACAATGCAAACACGATGATACTTGGAGTTCTTTGAATTTCACTGCTTTCTCTTCAGCCTTACATACAAGTTATGATGTTTAATTCATTTCAATCGCTAACATAATGTTAAAATAGAAATGACAGCTAACAATGAATAATTTGTGTGTAGTGTGTAAAAGATAGTGACAAACTCAACGTATTCAAGATAGCTCTTATGTCTCATACACGCCAACAAATGAAGGTCAAAACAGCCAATGTAGCAGCAGCTTTTGCATCAATAGTCCTCAACATACCCAAGGGAAAACGTAAGATCCTCAAATACAATATGGAGAACAGCAACTCAGTCACAAATGATGGAGAAACCCTGGAAGAGGTGGAAAGTTTCATGTATCTGGGTAGCATCGTCGATGAACAAAGACGTAAATGTGAGGATTGGCAAAGTAAGGAAAGAATATATGGTACTCAAAACAACTGTCAACCTACATTCAAGTCAGAATCTTCAATACGAACTTCAAGACAGTTCTATTGTACGGAGCCAAAACTTGGAGATCTACCACAACCATAATCAAAAAGGTATAAGTATTTATAAACAATTGCCTACGTAAGATACTGAATGTCCGTTGATTGAATACCATAAGCAACAGCCTTCTGTGGGAGAGAACAAACCAACTACGATCTGAGAAGGAAGTTAGGAGAAAACTCTGGAAGTGGATAGGACATACAATATGGAAATCATGAAACTGTATCACAAGACAAGCGCTAAGTTTTTTCTACATCATACCAATTATTCATTGTTACTTGTCATTACTCTACCATTCAGAGATAACTCAAATAGTCTCATGTTGAAACCAAGACCTAAATTAGCTATCAGTAAGATATGTTATACAGTTCAACTAGTAATTATCGAGAAGTCAAGATCTATGCTCCAGGAAAACCTAAAACAGTATGTAAGCGATTATGTTATCTCCCATTACATTTGTCACTTTACATGTATGTGCGGTAATATTTACATCGTGAGTTGCAAGTAAGGGTAGGTGGACGCATACCTAAATGGCTACAAAAACAAATGAATTTCAATGATCAAATAAGGTCACGGCATAGACAAATATATTACTCCGTTGAGAAATATTTGATTGAGACCGGTCATACTGTTGATATCGAATCAGCCTTCATAGTTTTGTACAAAAGCTTTCAAACGCTTCTATTAAGTTTCATTGAAGTCTTGGTTATACGAGAACTGAAATCCCCTTTGTGTATTCAAAAACGAGGTGTACTTACCCTTAACCTACCTTGATAACACTGATTTAATGTCCGGCGTGGTTTTCCACATCGTGTACTTTATCGTTATCTTAGTTTCCCCTTATCTTTTAATGTGTCTGGCTGACCGTTTATTTTTCGTTTATAATGTCTTAACAAGTATATTATGTGTGATCAGACTGTTCGAATTATATTGTACAAATATATCAACTGGAAATAACTAGGCAACTTAATTTGTATATGTAGCTGAAGAGAAACCAACGAAATGCGAGACTATAATTTGTGAACAAACCAATCAGATTTACGATAACAGGTCTGGAATTTTGGCGAGAAATTCACTCATCGATTTGGTTAAATAGAGTTTTGACATTATAGCTGATGTCAGTTCGTGATGAAAACCCTATATCTGATTCCTAACCCTAACCATCAACTGTGTGTATTAATCCTAATTCCTCACGCTGGTTTATAATCCTCATTTAGCCGTAGTATGCAGCTGGACATTCTCGAGGTCTCTTTAGCGTCGCTCAAAGGTTATCCATAAACTATAGTCTCAACCAACGAAATGGATTTGTAGTGGTATTTGACCCTAACCATACAGCCTTTGAAGTCAAACATATCATTACTGAAAAGACTTATATTCGCCAATTGACACAAAGAGAAGGTTAACTATAGAAAAGATGGGAAGGATTAATTCAATTCGATCAGATGGCATGGCTCAGCCTTGCAGGCGCGGTTATTCTAGCGTAACTTATCTCTTTTATTTATATTAAATATATTGTTCTATCTCTTGCCTAAATGTGTCTTTTAGAGACGTGAATCATGATACGACAAGTCCGTGTAGACAATGATGTGACTTCCACGTAAGATCTTCTACATTAGGTAGTCACATCACGACAAATGTACAATTTTACGATTGAATCTATTATTAGAGCAGTAATAATAACGAAAGTAGACCATAATTCTACAGATTCCTTGTATTTTGAAAATATAGTCGTTCCTACTTTGTTCATATGCTTACAGGAAAACAAAGCTAAACAAGAGAGATTATAGTATCCAGTATATCACTGTTATGCATTATATAGCACATTAAGTAAGCTGAAAGTCTTAGCTAAGAATGTTATGAGAAGATATTTGTATCTGTGCTGATAGGCGGTTTATGCTCCGCCATGTGGAGTAACAGGCGTAAGTAAGTATACATAAACAGTTCAACTTACATGTTTTACAAATGATACCATCATCTTCTTGAATTGAATAATAACCATATTTACAGAAACATTCGTTTTTTTCAACTGAACAGAAACTATTCGGGACAAGTTCAGTACAGAATGAATCACCTAGGGGTAGACAAAATTCTGAAATAAAAAATACAATACAAATATATTAGATAAATAAATAGGATTGATTTATGTCATTATAAGTGTATTAATTATTTTAATAGTTGAATTCATGAATCAATCTGAGCTAGATCACTGTTGGAACTCAGGAAAAATTGGACGATCATTCTGTCCTAGTACGAAACTCCTCAGCAGTGCGCATCCACAATCCCACACGTGGGACTCAAACATAGGTCTCGCACAAGACCCCCTAATGTCTAGACCACTGAGTCGACATCCAACGGTGTTAACGTGATACTTCAATCGATCCATGATCTTGTGCAACCATTCATCCATTGTCTAAGGTGAATACCTGTCTCCATGTGGCACGGATTGGACTCCTTTGGTCACGGCTTCTTATTAGGACTTGAAGAAATCCATCTTGAAGCCAGTGACTAGCGACCAGTGAGCACATGATCATTATCATCATGGGGATTTGTGGAGATTGTGATAATTTTAATAGTTGAATTCAAGTGTCGATCAATATTAGATCACCATTGAAAACCTGAAGTTAGACATTAACACCACTGGATGCCAGTTCATTGTTCCAGAGGTTAATCGTTAGTCCGCGAGACTGAAGGTCCTAGGTTTGAGTCCCACGTGTAGGAATTGTGGATTCGTAATTCTGAAGAATTCCATGCTAGTACGAAATAGTCGTTCAGTACTTCCATGTTTTCAATGGTTGTCTAACTTACATCTACTGATGAATCGAACTATCCAAAACCACTACAATCTCCACAAACCACCCTATCTAATATTAATTATTTATTTTTTTGATTGAGATCATGAACCGATTGATGTTAGACCACCACTGAAAACCTGGAATCACTGAACGGCCGTTTCGTCCTATTGGTGGTCTAACATCAATCGGTTCATGACCTCAATCAAAATCTTAACAATCTCCACAACCCCTAAACTGATAATCACCATGTGCTCACTAGTGACTAGCTTCATGAGACAATTTTCAGAGTTCTAGTGAGAAGCCGCGACCAATGGAGCTAATCCGTGTCGGGTAGAAACAGGTGTCTACCTCAGTACATTGAAAGATGGTTGCGCAACTTCGTGGATTGGTTGAGGTTAGACATTAACACCATTGGATGCCGGCTGAGTTATCCGGTAGGTTAAGCGTTCGAGTGCGAGACTGAATGCCCTGTGTTCGAATCCCGCCAGCGGGATCGTGGATGTGCACTGCTGAGGAGTCCGACAATAGGATGAAACGGCTGTCCAGTGCTTCCAGGTTTTCAATTGTGGTGGTCTAACATCAATCATTTCATGATCTCAATCAAAAACTTAACAATCTCCACAACCCCTAAACTATTAATTAATTACTTATTTATTAATTATGAGTAATTATTACTAAATTCAATTATTACGTCCTATAGATTTCAATCTATCTGTTACCCATTAATTCATTTCTGTATATTTAACTTTACTCTATCCTAAAATGTATTTCCTTTTCATGATATTTATATTTTATTCTTTGACCTGAATTCATGTTTAGAACTGTGTCGATTAGCATGTGTAATTTAATCTAATAATGAAAAGGTATGTCATTAAATAGTCACTTTGATTCATGTTAAATTAAACTTCATTTTTACAAATGGATTCTATATTTTATTTGTTATTATGGATGACTTTATTCAGTAATAAATTAAAAGGGGTTTTTTGTGGATATTATAGTAATTTAATAGTTGAATTCATGAGTTAATTGAAGCTAGACCATCATGGAAAACCTGGAAGCACTGGACGGCCGTTTCATCCTACTGTGGGACTCCGCAGAAGTGCACATCCAGGACCCCGCCTCGTGAAGATTCGAAACCGGGACTTATCAGTTTCGCGCGCGAGCATTTGACTTCAAGATTACTGAGTCAGCATTCAACGGTATTAATGTCTAATCTCAACCAATCCACAAAATTGAGCGACACGTCCATCATTGTCTTCAGTGAGTTACTATCTCACAACAGACCTGGTTGAACTCCACTGGTCACTGCTTCTCACTAGAACTCCAGGAAATACCTTTTGATGCCAGTCACTAATGACTACATGTTAATTAGTATCAGGAGGGGTTTTGTAGATATCATAGTAATTTAATAGTTGAGATCATGAGTCAATTAAAGCTAAACCATCATGGAAAATTTGAAAGCACTGAACATCGTTCGCACACGAGACTGTAAATGTTAGATTCGAATCCTGTATGCTAGATCGTGGATGCACATTGTTGGAATCCTGTACTAGGATGAAATAATCGTCTAGTTCTTTCAAGTTTTCAATGATCGTCTAGCTTCAATTGACTCATGAATTCAACCACATTAAATATTATTAAACCCTAAAATAAATTTATTCATCTATTTTCTTAAGTTTTTTTCTTCATCTGTAAAAATTAAAAGAAAATTATTCTTTGATCATTGAACTAATTTATTGTGCCGTCTGTAAAACCAACATAATTTTCTTTAGAAGACAATGAAAAAAAAATTACACATAATTATTCAAGATGACTGGTTCTTGTGCATCTTGGGCATAGAGATATGAAATTGCGTGTGTGTGTGTATATATATATACATTTGGAGCAAAACAGATTATTAACTATGTGTCGATTTAGAATAGACCACCATGGAAAATTCGGAAGCAGTGAACGGTGTTCGTTCACGAGACTGAAGGTCCTAAGTTCGGATCCCGTATGGGAAATCGTGAATGTCTACTGCCGAGGAGCCCCATACTAGGACGAAACGGACATCTAGTGCATCCAGGTTTCCCATGATTACTTACTTTACTTACTTACGCCTGTTACTCCTAATGGAGCATAGGCCGCCGGCCAGCATTCTTCAACCCACTCTGTCCTGGACCTTCTTTTCTAGTTCCATTCAATTCTTGTTCATTTTTCTCATGTCTATCTCTATTTCCCGACGTAATGTGTTCTTTGGTCTTCCTCTTTTCCTTTGGCCTTGAGGATTTCATGTGAGGGCTTATCTTGTGACGCATTTGGGTGGTCTAGCTTAAATCAACTCATGAATTCAATTATTAATTTAATACAATCTTCATAAACCCCAATTCTGATATTAACTATGTAATACTGAATAGATTGAATTGTAAATTCACCTCAAGTTATGAATTTAATGTTAAGTATCGGAAACATACCTACTGTAGTGAACGAGTACATAAGTAGAGGTAATCGAATGAATTAGAATATAAAATTACAGAACATCTTAGCAAAATCTGAGAACCATACAGTAAATAATTCATTTGTAAAATGCCAATCAATCGTCTCAGACTTCATTGTTCCTTCGTTTCCGCAGCAATCACTTAAAGTTCTCATTCTTTTTTCTTTTATCTTCTTAACCTTCTGCCCACAGGTATTTCACTTTCGATTGATGATAAATACTACTTATATCTGACGACATCAGTAGTACATACCACACTATTACATTAAAATCAATCTAAATACTATATGAATATAACATTGAATAGCGTTGACTTATCAGAAGATTTTAAGTAACTCAAACAATCATTTTAGTGTTGAATCACAAAGGTCTTTCAAAAGAATGACAATTGAATTTAGGTAGGGATGCCCTACATGAATGTATATCATGTAGTGTCGGTTAATATGTTAAGTCCATATACCTTATTCTAGGTTTCGGACAGTCCATTCTATACATTCTACTTGAGTCACATTCTGACCTTGTTAATTATTCGCTTATCAATCTTGACTAATTTTATATCAGCGCGTAGATGGGTGTACATTTCTTATCCCATTACCCATCACATGTCTGTAAATTACTTTTGTGTAATTATAAATATTGTTTAACGCTTGGTTAAATGGGTTGTTGGCTTACCAGCCATCTTTACTCCGCATCGTTTCTCTTCTCTCTATTCCATTCGCTTTATATGCGAAATATATGTATTCAAAAATCCATTCTCGTTATTTGACTTATTTAATTCCGCAATTGACTAACGTGATTTAATTTGATGATTATATACGAGGATAGGCGACATATACATTTCGACAGCAATCATTCAATAATAATCATTCATACGATCGAATCTGCTCTCCTTCTCGAAATGCCTTCATATGGCCACGTGCATAGAACCACTGCCAAATAAATCCTACTCACTACCTTCTCGCGACAGGGGTGTTGTTTACGAAATTGAGAAGATGAAAAGTGAATAACCGGTGCTTTAAACGGGTTAGTGGATATGAAGGATCCACCTAAGGGAGTTGGGAAACCCTGACTCCAAACCAATAGTGCACATGGTCTCCAGGACCGTGAGAGATCAAATGGTGTTTTGTCTATTTATTATATTTGAACACAAATTTTGGTACACAAAGGCACGGAATACATATACACCACACAAGTCACTTGATTTGTATGTAGAATGTGATACTTCCCGGGTGCCCAAACTGAAGTAGGTGTATGAACCAATTATTGGTCATTGGCTACCATCAGACTGCATCTCCTAACGTTGGTCCACCGCCTTGTTGATCAGACCTTTAGGATGGAGGCTCAGGGTGTGGCCCACCAAGAAAACCACCTACTTTGGTTTGGTCACCCAGGCAGTATCACAATCCTCACACAAATCAAATGATTTGTGTCGGGCATACACATTTGAAGCCTCCTTGTACCAATGTTTATATGTTTAAATAAAATGACAATGGAATATGATAGTTCCTTATTGTCATAAAGGAATTCATAAGAGAATTTTCTCTTACTCAAAATAAGTGGCATTTAATAAGTCTTGATGAATGTAAATTTCACAACCATTGAGTTGTAATTTCACGATTGGAAGAAAGGATTTACCACCAAGTGGACAGTCAGTGAAGTGATAAAATATTTCAGTATATATTCATATGTAGGTTTTAGACAATACTTATTACGTAATAGCTAAGGTTATTGAAAATTCTTTCTATGTATATGTCATTCATTCATATAGGGTTTAAGGTAGATATAATCATTAGTTGTACATAGTAATCAGGCATTGGAGAA